ACTCCTCTTCAATGGCTCTGCAAAGTTGCTGCATATTGGTGGGAACTGGAACACGCTGTCGTACATGTCGCTCCAGAGCAGCCCAAACAGGCTTAATTGGTGACATGTCTGGTGAGTATGCAGGCCATAGAATAACTAGGAAATCTTCAGCTTCAAGGAATTGTGTACAAAGCCTTGCGACATGGGGCTGTGCATTATCATGCTGAAACATTACGTAATGTCAGCGGAATGAATGGCATGACGATAGGCCTCAGGATCTTGTCACGGTATCTTTGTGCATTCAAATTGCCATCAATAAAATGCAATTGTATTCGTTGTGCGTAGTTTAGGCCTACCAATACCATAATCCCACCGCCACCATGGGGCACTCTGTTCACAACATTGATATCAGCAAACCGCTTGCACACACGCCGCCATACACGTGGTCTGCGGTTGTGAGGCCGGTTGGACGCACTGCCAAATTCTCTAAAATGACCCTGGAGGTGGCTTGTGGTAGAGAAATGAACATTAAATTCTCTGGCAACAGCTCTGGTGGACATTCCTGGATTATCTTGGCAAAGGAGAAATGCTCATTAACAGGGATGTAAACAAATTTGTGCCCAAAAACTGAGAGAAATTATGTTTGGAATATTTCTGGGATCTTTTATTTCTGCTCATGAAACATGGGACCAACACTTTACATGTTGCGTTTATATTTTTGTTCAGTGTGTATATCTATTTTTGTATATATATATTTTTTTTTGGGGGGGGGGTTTAGGAAATTCACATTTTCATATCAGGTTGCGACCCCTAGTTTGGAAACCGCTGGGCTACAGAAAAAACCGGCATGCATGCATCCAATCTTTTAGTCAGTCAATGTCCACATTATTATCACATATTTTAGAAAGTAATAATAATTTGAATATCAATGTATTGGCAAGGCCTAACATTTTTATTATTTTTAAAGTGGTAATGGCCTACTTTTTTGACACTTTTTGCATGCTTTTTTGGGGGGAGGGGATTCTATATTAGGCCCTATATGTAGAGTTATATAAATTATACACTTGTATAACATTTGCCATTGTCGTTTTGAACCCTGGTTAAAGGATGTATTGTCCTAGGCCTATGTTGTTGTATAGATGGAGTTATGGGAAATTTACATATATACACTTTTATTCCTATAAGTACACATGTGGAACTGCATGAAAATCGTTTTTATTTTTGTTTCAAACCATTTAGAAATGTTGATCCCAATGCCACACATTGGCCCCATTATTTATAGAAATAACCTCATATAGCGCAGGATGTGGTATGATAACCACATAATCATAATAATATGTTAACTGTATTTTCAACAGGGGTTAAAGTTCTCCGTCACTGCAATGGATTTCTGTCATATGGATTCTGGAGAGGTCGTTTTTGAGATGTAGGTCCGCAATAATAACATATTTTTCTCTCTCAGTTACGCTGTGTGCACTGAACTGACATGCATGTTACTGACACTCCGATGTTCAGATTAAGGGAATTAAATAGTCTATAATGCGCACCACCGCAGCAACTCAAACAGTGTAGCCTACTGTAGCTGCTAGCAAAGTATTTCAAAGCCTATACTTTATTACTCAGGATGCAACTCTCCAGTGCTACTATTTTTGCCATGCAATGTTGTTATTAAAACAAAATCAGACAACCCCATAGTAGAATAGTTTACCTATTTACCTAGTTGTCATGTTGTGTGTTCCTGTGCGAGATAAATATTCCCCTCAAGGATCATTCAAGTTGCGAGAGCCATAGGGAGGGAAACGTATTCTGACAAGCAGTCAATGCACAACAATCTCAGGAAAACACTTCTTCAAGTAGTTTTGCTAAATGTATTTTGAAAGCAGTTTTGGCCTTTGTTAAAAAAGAGGAGGATCTCAGTTTTCCATTGTTACCACATTTATTGATCTTCTCCTTCAGTTGCACGAGTGGCATAGTTTTACAAATGCAGTTACAACTGGAGTTTCAAGCATGTTAGCCACAGCTGCGCAACAGAGCTCTTAAAGGGACAATGGCGTCTTTATTAAAAGGGAAATGACATAGACCTACTTTGTAATAAAAAACAAAAATATATAATTTTTCAAGTGAATAATAAATAAGATTTATTTTAATATTTATAATACAATTATTATTATTAATAATAACAATCAGGATGTTGTGTCCAATGGGGTAAATGCAGATGGACAAACCATATGCTTCAGCCTATGTACTGTACATTTTATAGCCACTATGCTGCATCAGTTGGGCTACAGGTGATAATGCTTATTGCTAATAGCAGATCTGATAATATAGACCATGTAACATAATTTGTAACATCATTTTTACCAATATGTTATTGGGCTCATTTCTGTAGGTGGAAATTATATTGTAGATGGTGTCAGCATCATTTGATTTTCCTTCATTTTGGAGTAGAACGTCATCGTCGTCGTTGTCGTCGTCGTCGTCGTCGTCGTCGTCGTCGTCGTCGTCATTGTCGTTGTCCCTGCTCATCTGCGTGAACGTGCCTTAGGCATGCTGCAAGGAGGAATGAGGACTGCAGATGTGGCCAGGGCAATAAATTGCAATGTCCGTATTGTGAGACGCCTAAGACAGTGCTACAGGGAGACAGGACGGACAGCTGATCGTCCTCGCAGTGGCAGACCACGTGTAACAACACCTGCACAGGATCGGTACATCCGAACATCACACCTGCGGGACAGGTACAGGATGGCAACAACAACTGTCCGAGTTACACCAGGAACGCACAATCCCTCCATCAGTGCTCAGACTGTCCGCAATAGGCTGAGAGAGGCTGGACTGAGGGCTTGTAGGCCTGTTGTAAGTCAGGTCCTCACCAGACATCACCGGCAACAACATCGCCTATGGGCACAAACCCACCGTCGCTGGACCAGGGAGGACTGGCAAAAAGTACTCTTCACTGACGAGTCGCGGTTTTGTCTCACCGGGGGTGATGGTCAGATTCGCGTTTATCGTCGAAGGAATGAGCGTTACACCAAGGCCTGTACTCTGGAGCGGGATCGATTTGGAGGTGGAGGGTCCGTCATGGTCTGGGGCGGTGTGTCACAGCATCATCAGACTGAGCTTGTTGTCATTGCAGGCAATTTCAACGCTGTGCGTTACAGGGAAGACATCCTCCTCCCTCATGTGGTACCCTTCCTGCAGGCTCATCCTGACATGACCCTCCAGCATGACAATGCCACCAGCCATACTGCTCGTTCTGTGCGTGATTTCCTGCAAGACAGGAATGTCAGTTTTCTGCCATGGCCAGCGAAGAGCCCGGATCTCAATCCCATTGAGCACATCTGGGACCTGTTGGATTGGAGGGTGAGGGCTAGGGCCATTCCCCCCAGAAATGTCCGGGAACTTGCAGGTGCCTTGGTGGAAGAGTGGGGTAACATCTCACAGCAAGAACAGGCAAATCTGGTGCAGTCCATGAGGAGGAGATGCACTGCAGTACTTAATGCAGCTGGTGGCCACACCAGATACTGACTGTTACTTTTGACCCCCCCCCCCCCCCCCCCCCCCCCCCTTTGTTCAGGGACACATTATTCAATTTCTGTTAGTCACATGTCTGTGGAACTTGTTCAGTTTATGTCTCAGTTATTGAATCTTGATATGTTCATACAAATATTTACACATGTTAAGTTTGCTGAAAATAAACGAGGTTGACAGTGAGAGGACGTTACTTTTTTTGCTGAGTTTAGAAGCTGCAGCACTCCTGATACATTGAAATACATTTGCCAAAATTACTGCTGTCTGTTCAGAAATAAAAGAAATAATTCTGAATAGCCTACTACACCTTGAGAAAGCATATAATTTAGCCACGAGGATCAGCTTCTTCTTCAAAAAAATAAACCCTAGCTGTGGAGTGTAGCCCAATAACAACGCATATCCTACAGTCTAGTCTGTCAGTGAACAAACAGCATGCAGACAAACAGGCCTTTAGCAATACTTCAAATACAATCGCTGAAAACACAGGTTGGAAAGCAAACGGCTCCTGCTGAAAAGAGAAGACTTTAATCTGTCTGCTGTAGGCTACCATAATATTTAATCAACTTTCAAATAGGCCTATTGTTTTACAAAGTAAAGCAAGAGAGAGAGAGGCTTTTGGCACGAGCACATCAGCCATCACCAGCGAGTGAGCTCATCATTGGGTGAGTCAGTGAAGCAGGAAAGCATTTTTAGGACTATAGTTTCCTCCTCATATTATAGCCTACAATATGTGTTTGCAAACACCTAGGCCTAGGCTATTGATGGATTCAAGACAAGGTTGTTTTTATTGATCTCAGCTTCTCAGATTCTCAGTTTGTCAATGTCAAAGTAGCCTGCTATTTCAGTCATTTTGATCATTTGTGTGGTATTATGGTGCCTTCATGACAACTGGAAACTCTGAAATAAACAAGATCGAAACATTTTATAAAAGTCAAAAAAAATTCTCATGCATTCCGGTACCTCAGAGCTTACTAGGTCACCACCCTCTCATGCTCACATTTTGCTCCGGCACCTCCCGATTTACAAATTAAGCACTGCTCGGACCCCTAAGCAAGAGGACTGGAATTGCAGTTTAATACATGAACAAAATTATCCTCTTTCCCTAAAAGCATGATGGTCATGCCTTTCTTACACAAGGGGAGGTTAACTTGGGGGGGGACTCAGTTGGTAGAACAAAGAGCTTGCAACACCAGGGTTGCGGGTTTGATTCCTACGGGGGACCAGTATGAAAAATGTATGCACTCACTACTGTAAGTCGCTCTGGATAAGAGCATCTGCTAAATGACTAAACATTTTTAAAATGTGTTTGCATATGTGCATGTCACCTACACATACCCACAACCTTTCCCCAGATAACCATATGTACAGAACTGTTGCACCACAGTTCCCACTCTCCCAGACAAGTCCTGCTATACACAGCCAGTACCTCTTATCTCTCTGTACCTCCTCCCTCTTTCCCACCTTCTCTCCCTCCCTCCCTCCCTCCCCGCCAGGTGATCACCTACTTTGCGGGCCGGGTATACGACCCCAACGAGGAGGAGGCGGGCCGACTGTCCTTAGCCGGGGACTACATCAAGGGGGACGCCTCCCTACTGATCAGTGACCTCACCCTGGGCGACTCGGGTGAGTACAGCTGCAAGGTGAAGAACGGGGGAAAGTACCAATGGAGCACGGTCAACCTCATAGTACTGGGTAAGTCCTTGACCCGCAGTGTATTTATATGATTTTTCACACACTTTAAACATAAACCCCATCAAACAGGAACCATCAAAACCAGTCACCACCACACAAGGTAATATAAAGAGCTCCACCCCTTGATTAGTCAAACACAAACAGAAAAAACCCTCAGAGAATTGGGTTCGGTTAGGCTAACCTCGAATTCACTGCAAAACAGTATCATTTTTATGCCACTTGAAAAGGGATGCACTCGCACATCTAGTACAGGTGGCCATGGGCATCTCTAGCCAGAGATTCAAGAGATGTTCACACCACCAATATTTCACTGTTGAAATGTGTAACATTGTTTTAAATGCTTACTGTATGTGGTGGATAGCAATTACAGAAGTGATGCTGTCCCTTGTCCCTTCATATTGTCCTACTGGTCACACACTGGTTGAATCAATGTTGTTTCCATGTCATTAAATTGACGTCTGTGCCCAGTGAGGTAGTTGACTGGCAATGACCACACAAACACTGTTGGTGAGATGTTTGAATCACTACCTAACTAACCTGTTGGTGTCACTAAAGTATAAGATGGCAGTTACTTGTGACTTACTTGTAAAAGCGAAAACGAGCTCCAAAGGGTCGACCACTGCCACATGTTGCTACCAATCCAAATCCTTAACTGTGCATGATAATAAGAGATAAAATCATAATTAGCACCAGTAGTGGAAAACGTACCCAATTGTCATACTTGAGTAAAAGTATAGATACCTTAATAAAAACTTACGCAAGTAAAAGTGAAAGTCCCCAGTAAAATACTACTAAGTATTTGGTTCTAAATATACTTAAGTATCAAAAGTACAAATAAAAATCATTTCAAATTCCTTATATTAAGCAAAGCAGATTGTATCATTTTCTTGTTTGAAAAATGTACTGATAGCCAGGGCTAGACTCCAACACTCAGACATAATTTACAAAATATGTATTTGTGTTTAGTGAGTCCACCAGATCAGAGGCAGTAGGGATGACCATGTGTTCTCTTGATAAGTGCGTGAATTTGTTGGGTGGCATTGGAAGGTGGTTCTGACACAGGAACAAGATGTAAGGCCCCCCGCCTTCTCCTCCTCACCCCCCTCCTCCTCAGCCCTCCTAATTTCATCCTGGGTAGAATTTGCCCTACTCAGCAAAATGAGGAGAAAACAGGGGAAGAGAGGTCCGTGATAGAGAGCAGGAAGTGGGTGGTGGGGGCTCTCTATATTATGTGTACGTGTGTTTGATCATGTTTGTTTGTTCATAGGGATATCTGTTTTCAGCTGGCAAGAATAAATTTCTTTGATAACAATGTGGTTTTCTGCAGGAACGACAGTAGTTACAAAGTTCCAAAAATACAACAAAACGGCTGGTCCATGCTGGTTGTTCTATCTAGTAGACCTCAGACTTGTTAGTGATGCACCGGCCAACTTGGTTATTATTGCATATTTCATATTGGTAGATGACTTTATGCTGTAAGGACACAGTAATGAAAGACAGATAGTAAATGCTCATGGAATGCATTTAATAATATATTTAATAATATCAAGGTAAAACACCTGGTAACATTCATATTCTGTAATCAAATCAAATTGTATTTGTCACATGCTTCATGGACAACAGATGTAGATTTACAGTGAAATGCTTACTTACAGGTTTTATTTCAACAATGCAGAGTCCAAGATGAGATAAAAAAAAAATAATAATAATAATATTGGCACATTAAAATAACTAGTAAAAATAACATGGCTATATACAGTTAGTAACAGTACTGAGTCGATGTGCAGGGGTACGAGGTAATTGAGGTAGCTTTGTAGCAGCAGCATATGTGGTGTGAAAGTGTGAGTGTGTGGCATGAGTGTGTGTGTGTGTGTGTGTGATTGTGTGTTTGTGTGTATTAGTGCTGAGTGATTAGTGCTTTTTGATTATGTAGATTATGTAGATGGTAGTGACTGCCCATGACTGCTTATCACTTATTAACCATCAGTTACTCACATTACTTTACTTTAATAAAATATTTCAGTTCCAAAAGGGTTCTTTGGTTGTCCCCATAGGAGAACCCTTTTGGTTCCAGGGAGAACACTCTGTGGAAAGATTTCTACATGAAACACGAAAAGGTTCTAACTGGAACCAAAAATGGTTCTTCAAAGGGTTCTCCTATGGGGACAGCGGAAGAACCCTTTTAGGTTCTAGATAGCACCTTTTTTCTAAGAATATAGAACTATATAACCCTTAATTATAACAGCACTCACACCTTCTAATCTACCATCTAGTGTCTTGTAGTCCTTTTTATACAGAACCTCAACCATTACATAAGATCATTGTTAGCTTCTCTTAGGTGGTAAAGTTGGATTTAAGGTCAAGGCCTCGAATAAAGAACATTGTGGATGAGATTATTTTAGACTGAGTGACTTGATATCTGAACCTGTAATTGATTGGAAGTACTTTGGTGTTGTGCATGTGTGTATGACTGTGTTTTAGGAGGTAAGACCTCTTATCTCTTTCTGTCATAGGAAAGTTACTTGTCAGCAGGGGTTGGAACTGGTACAGGGAACAGAACCAAAAACCGGAAAATAACAAACATTTTCCAGGAACAGAATCAGAAACAGGAACGAAAGTGATCTATACTGTTCCAGATTTTTTTTTCATCCCACAAAAAAACAGGTCAAATAAGCAAAGAGAAACGACAGTCCATCATTACTTTAAGACATGAAGGTCAGAACTTTTAAAGTTTCTTCAAGTGCAGTCGCAAAAACCATCAAGCGCTATGATGAAACTGGCTCTCATGAGGACCGCCACAGGAAAGGATGGCCCAGAGTTACTTCTGCTGCAGAGGATAAGTTAATTAGAATAACTGCTCCTCAGATTTCAGCCCAAATAAATGCTTCACAGAGTTCAAGTAACAGACACATCTCAACATCAACTGTTCAGAGGAGACTGCAAGAATCAGGCCTTCATGTTGGAATTGCTGCAAAGAAACCACTACTAAAGGACACCAATAAGAAGAAGAGACTTGCTTGGGCCAAGAAACACGATCAATGAACATTAGACCGGTGGAAATCTGTCTTTTATTCTGATGAGTCCAAATTTGAGATTTTTGGTTCCAACCGCTGTGTCTTTGTGAGAAGCAGAGTAGGTGAACGGATGATCTCTGCATGTGTGGTTCCCACCGTGAAGCATGGAGGAGGAGGTGGAATTGTGTGGGGGTGCTTTGCTCGTGACATTGTCTGTGATTTATTTAGAATTTAAGGCACACTTAACCAGCATAGCTACCACAGCATTCTGCAGTGATACGCCATCCCATCTGGTTTGGGCTAACCAGGAATAACCAGTCACCATTATGGGAACTAAAAACAATGGTTACAACGGGAGTCATACCGCCTAGATAGGGAGCCGCCAGGAGATCTGTGGTCCGTGTTGGTGTAGGGGGTGCTGCCCACCTCCATGGGTGAGGACTCGGAAGCAGGGCGGCTTCCATAGCTCAGATAGGATGAGCGTTGAGGCTCCGGGAGGTGTTGGGAACGCCCTCTCTCTCTCTCAACATGTCGTCAAGATGGATGGACGTGGTGATGAGGGTATCAAGGTCCATCTCGTCGTCCCGACATGCGAGTTCTGTCTTAATGTCCTCCCGTAAGCCTCTCCTGAAGGCCGTGCGCAGAGCACGCTCATTCCAGCCGGAAGACGGCGCCACCGTGCGAAAGCTCAGAGCGTACTCAGACGCGGGTCCCTCTCTCTGTTGTAGATGGAAGAGACGCTCACCCCGTCCTTTCCCTCCATGGGATGATCAAACACCGCCCTGAACCGAGCGAGGAAGGTGGGGTAGGGAAGCGCCACTGCCTCCTCTCCTTCCCAGACTGCGTGGCCCAATCCAGCACCTTTCCTTTAAGTAGCGAAATGACCAGCGCTAACCTGGCTTGGTCAGATGGATATGCCCCAGGCTGACGCACCAGATAAAGTGAAACCTGTAGCAGGAAGCCGTTACATTTAGTAGTTTTACGGTCATACCGCTCCGGTAGGGCGAGGGTTCCCGCAGAAGTGGGCGATAGCACGGGAACAGGTGGATTGGATGCACTCGCCGCTCCCTGAGGTGGAACCGGAGCGCTGGGCAGATTATGCAGAGTTTGGAGCACTTCCTGCATGGTGGCGTTCAACTGGGCAAGCTGCTGCTGGTGCTGGTCGAGTCACTGGGAAACTCCTGCTGCATCCATTTTTGTGATGTGTGATTCTGTGATGAGTACTGATATACGAAGAGGCAGGACGCAGATGCAGGAATTAACAAGGTCAAGGTTTACTTAATAATGAGAAAGAGAATACCAAAGAGAGAGTAAATGACACAACGCTTAACAATCACACACAACACAATACAGAACAGTCCAGGGCTAAATAGGGGTGGTGATGAGATGATGAAGTGCAGGTGCACTGGAGGTAATTAGGGTGCGTTGGGTTTCCATTCCGGTGTTGCCGAGTGGTGCGCTCAGACCGGTGGCTCAGTAGACCGGCGAATCAGAGCGCCGGAGGGGAGCAACGGGAGGAGACGTGACAGCTGTCAACAAGGCAAAGGGTGGCTATTTGATTTGATAAAATATATTTGATATGTTTAAAACTTTTTTGGTTACTACATGATTCCATATGTGTTATTTCATAGTTTTGATGTCTTCACTATTATTCTACAATGTAGAAAATATAGTAAATAGTAAAAATAAAGAAAATCCCTTGAATGAGTAGGTGTTCTAAAACTTTTGACCGGTAGTATACATCAAGCAAGTATTTTTATATTCCACAAGTATTATCAGATTAACAGTACTGTACAGATAATTGTTACAAATGCTGGGAAACACTCAAATACATGTAGGTTTTTTTTTATCACAAAAGCAGTGCACTGGGCCTTTACTAGTCCTGTATTAGTGGACCGACACAGACATCTTTAGTCCGGACAAAAAAAAATCTGCATCCCCCCCCTCAAATATCAACTGTAATGATGGGAGTGTAAAACTATTGACTATAAACATGTGCTGTCTTCTGTTGATTTATACAGCTTGTGTCATAAGGGAGATCCAAGGCAGGTTGGATAAATTTGCATACAGGAAGGGACCAGGAAATCTGGTCACAATAAGGACGCAGTGAGCAGATAAGAGACAGATTTTATTACCATATGTAGACTCAACAAATCTCAATCAGACAGTGATCGAATCATCTTGATCAGATGACGACAACCACATGTTAATGCAAGGTGTACCCACAGCTTTTGTAAAGATGGGAGAGGAGGACACAGTGAGGAAATCTTGTTATATAATTTGATCTATCTTATTGTACACTGCTCAAAAAATAAAGGGAACACTAAAATAACACATCCTAGATCTGAATGAATGAAATAATCTTATTAAATACTTTTTTCTTTACATAGTTGAATGTGCTGACAACAAAATCACACAAAAATTATCAATGGAAATCAAATTTATCAACCCATGGAGGTCTGGATTTGGAGTCACCCTCAAAATTAAAGTGGAAAACCACACTACAGGCTGATCCAACTTTGATGTAATGTCCTTAAAACAAGTCAAAATGAGGCTCAGTAGTGTGTGTGGCCTCCACGTGCCTGTATGACCTCCCTACAACGCCTGGGCATGCTCCTGATGAGGTGGCGGATGGTCTCCTGAGGGATCTCCTTCCAGACCTGGACTAAAGCATCCGCCAACTCCTGGACAGTCTGTGGTGCAACATGGCGTTGGTGGATGGAGCGAGACATGATGTCCCAGATGTGCTCAATTGGATTCAGGTCTGGGGAACGGGCGGGCCAGTCCATAGCATCAATGCCTTCCTCTTGCAGGAACTGCTGACACACTCCAGCCACATGAGGTCTAGCATTGTCTTGCATTAGGAGGAACCCAGGGCCAACCGCACCAGCATATGGTCTCACAAGGGGTCTGAGGATCTCATCTCGGTACCTAATGGCAGTCAGGCTACCTCTGGCGAGCACATGGAGGGCTGTGCGGCCCCACAAAGAAATGCCACCCCACACCATGACTGACCCACCGCCAAACCGGTCATGCTGGAGGATGTTGCAGGCAGCAGATCGTTCTCCACGGCGTCTCCAGACTCTGTCACGTCTGTCACGTGCTCAGTGTGAACCTGCTTTCATCTGTGAAGAGCACAGGGCGCCAGTGGCGAATTTGCCAATCTTGGTGTTCTCTGGCAAATGCCAAATGTCCTGCACGGTGTTGGGCTGTAAGCCCAACCCCCATCTGTGGACGTCGGGCCCTCATACCACCCTCATGGAGTCTGTTTCTGACCGTTTGAGCAGACACATGCACATTTGTGGCCTGCTGGAGGTCATTTTGCAGGGCTCTGGCAGTGCTCCTCCTGCTCCTCCTTGCACAAAGGCGGAGGTAGCAGTCCTGCTGCTGGGTTGTTGCCCTCCTACGGCCTCCTCCACGTCTCCTGATGTACTGGCCTGTCTCCTGGTAGCGCCTCCATGCTCTGGACACTACGCTGACAGACACAGCAAACCTTCTTGCCACAGCTCGCATTGATGTGCCATCCTGGATGAGCTGCACTACCTGAGCCACTTGTGTGGGTTGTAGATTCCGTCTCATGCTACCACTAGAGTGAAAGCACCGCCAGCATTCAAAAGTGACCAAAACATCAGCCAGGAAGCATAGGAACTGAGAAGTGGTCTGTGGTCACCAACTGCAAAACCAGTCCTTTATTGGGGGTGTCTTGCTAATTGCCTATAATTTCCACCTGTTGTCTATTCCATTTGCACAACAGCATGTGAAATGTATTGTCAATCAGTGTTGCTTCCTAAGTGGACAGTTTGATTTCACAGAAGTGTGATTGACTTGGAGTTACATTGTGTTGTTTAAGTGTTCCCTTTATTTTTTTGAGCAGTGTAGTTCCATATGTTGCTGAATGGTACAATACCAACATGTGTATAGCTTGTAATGAGTTTGGTAAAATACCATCTCTTTAATATGAAACATTTCTAAAGATCATTATTGTGACGCCATACTGAGGTCCTTGAGTTGTAATGTGTCAAAGTCACATCTTCTCACCTCGGAAAGTATTCAGACCCCTTGACCTTTTCCACATTTTGTTACGTTACAGCCTTATTCTAAAATGTATGATTTTTTTTCTTCTCATCAATACCCAATAATGACAAATGTATTACAAAAAATATATATATATAATATCATATTTACATAAGTATTCAGACCCTTTACTCAGTACTTTGTTGAAGTACCTATGGCAGCGATTACAGCCTCGAGTCTTTTTGGGTATTACGCTACAAGCTTGGCACAACACCTGTATTTGGTGTTGCAGATCCTCTCAAACTCTGTCAGGTTGGATGGGGAGCGTCCCTGTACAGGTCTGTCAGAGTGAGCATCGGGTTCTTGGTCACCTCCCTGTCCAAAGCCCTTCTCCCCCGATTGCTCAGTTTGGCCAGGCAGCCAGCTCTAGGAAGAGTCTTGGTGGTTCCAAACTTCTTCCATTTAAGAATGATGGAGGCCACTGTGTTCTTGGGGACCTTCAATGCCTTCAATGTTTTGGTACCCTTCCGCAGATCTGTGCCTCGACACAATCCTGTCTTGGAGCTCTACGGACAATTCCTTCGACCTCAGGGCTTGATGTTTGCTCTGACATGCACTGTCAACTGTGGGACATTATATAGAAAGGTGTGTGCCTTTCCAAATCATGTCCAATCAGCTGAATTTACTACAGGTGCACTCCAATCAAGTTGTAGAAACATCTCAAGGATGATCAATGGAAACAGGATGCACCTGAGCCCAATTTCGAGTCTCATAGCAAAGGGTCTGAATACTTATTTAAATAAGGAATTTTATTTTTTATTTATTTATTTTTTTGCTAACATTTCTAAAATCCTGTTTTCGCTTTGTCATTATGGAGTATTGTGTGTAGATTGATGTGAACATTATATTAATCCATTTTAGAATAAGGCTCTAACGTAACAAAAGGTGGGTAAAGGGAAGGGGTCTGAATAGTTTCCGAATGCACGAATGCATATCTGTTTACTCTAGTGGAAGTTAAAAAGTGATACATGGTTGTAATACATAACCTGCATCCTCCTCCTTCACTTCCTCCAGCTGGTTCTTAGTAAATTGTAGTTCAGTCTTGGTGACAAAGCTCCACTTTCAGATCAACCACCTTCTCTTACTGTTCTTCAGTCTGGCATCCATGGCTAGAATGACAGACAGTCATTTAAAAACGTACAGAAATAAATGCAAATCCAATATTTAGATGCTGAATACAAGACAAACAAATTTTACGAAAAAAGTAAACCTGACAAAGATCCCAATTGAACGTTGTTTGTGTGTATTTCAATAAACACTGTGGGAGCTTATCAGATATAAGGACATTATTTTTCATAGAATGTCATTCAATCAGTCTATTCACTTAATGTATAATTCTTGGCTAAAATACATTACCTTTACTGTCTCTCTTCAGCTCCTCCACCTCTTTATTGCTCTCTGTCAGTCCGTTCTCAATGCTTGTTTCAGCTAAATCCAGATGTCAGGTTGGGTGGTGGTCTGTGGGTCAGTCAAGGGTGAAGTTTGGGTCTTGTCTTAAACGTTAATCCCCCCCTCAACCATGACATAAGATCACTGTTGGCTCCTCTTAGGTAGTACAGTTGGAATTACATCAAGGTCTCCAGACAACAACATTTGTGGATAAGATAATTTTTTACTGAGTTATTTAAAAGGTATGGCGTGGGAAATACTGACCTGTTATTTATCTAATTCAAAGTGTGTGTGTGGGTTGAGTAGAGAGAGAGAGAGAGAGAGAGAGAGAGAGAGAGAGAGAGAGCGAGAGAGGAGGGAGAGAGAGAGGAGAGAGAGAGAGACGAGAGAGAGAGAGAGAGAGAGAGAGAGAGAGAGAGAGACGAGAGAGAGAGAGAGAGAGAGAGAGAGGAGAGAGAGAGAGCGCGATAGAGAGAGAGGAGAGAGAGAACGAGAGAGAGAGCGCGAGAGCGGACGCGCGATACTAGGAGTAGAGAGAGACTAGAGATAGTCTATATCTGCTCTCTCTCTCTCTCTCTCTCTCTCTCTCTTCTCTCTCTCTCTCTCTCTCTTTATCTTCTCTCCTCTCTCTCTCTCTCTCTCTCTCTCTCTCTCCCCAGTGAAGCCCTCTAAGCCACGATGTTGGATGGAGGGCAGGCTGTTGGAGGGTAGTGACGTTAAGATGAGCTGTAAGTCTACAGACGGCTCTGACCCCATCAACTACAAATGGGAGAGGGTGCTGGACAAGGGCAAGTATGTAGGGAAGCTGCCCCCACTGGCCCTCATAGGTAAGCCCTCAGAATGCCAGACCAATTTCAAATCAGATCTACCACCTCCAGTGTCCTTATTTGTGTCCAGTCATGTTAGTGACAAGTGTTGGGAGAGTCACTACTCCCATGCAGACTTGACCAAGTTCTTATTCAATAACAATCCCTTATCTACATGTACAGCGCCTTCGGAAAGTATTCAGACCCCTTTACTTTTTCCACATTTTGTTAGGTTACAGCCTTATTCTAAAATTGATTAAATTGTTTTTTTCCCTCATCAATCTACACACAATACCCCATAATGACAAAGCAAAAAACTGAAATGTCTACATAAGTATTCAACCCTTTACTCAGTACTTTATTGAAGCACCTTTGGCAGCGATTACAGCCTCGAGTCTTCTTGGGTATGACGCTACAAACTTGGCACACCTGTATTTGGGGAGTTTCTCCCATTCTTCTCTGCAGATCCTCTCAAGCTCTGTCAGGTTGGATGGGGAGCTTTGCTGCACAGCTATTTTCAGGTCACTCCAGAGATGTTCGATCAGGTTCAAGTCCGGGCTCTGGCTGGGTCACTCAAGGACATTCAGAGACTTGTCCCAAAGCCACTCCTGCGTTGTCTTGGCTGTGTGCTTAGGGTCGTTGTCCTGTTGGATTGAGAACCTTCGCCCCCAGTCTGAGGTCCTGAGCGCTCTGGAGCAGGTTTTCATCAAGGATCTCTCTGTTCTTTGCACCGTTCATGTTTGCCTCGATCCTGACCCATTCCTTGCCGCTGAAAAACATCCCCACAGCATGATGCTGCCACCACCATGCTTCACTGTAGGGATGGTGCCAGGTTTCCTCCAGACGTGACGCTTGGCATTCAGGCCAAAGAGTTCAATCTTGGTTTCATCAGACCAGAGAATCTTGTTTCTCGTGGTCTGAGAGTCTTTAGGTGCCTTTTGGCAAACTCCAAGCGGGCTGTCATGTGCCTTTTACTGAGGAGTGGCTTCCGTCTGGCCCCTCTACCATAAAGGCCTGATTGGTGGAGTGCTCCAGAGATGGTTGTCCTTCTGGAAGGTTCTCCCATCTCCACAGAAGAACTAGAGCTCTGTCGGAGTGACCATCAGGTTCTTGGTCACCTCCCTGACCAAGGCCCTTCTCCCCCGATTGCTCAGTTTGGCCGGGCGGCCAGCTCTAGGAAGAGTCTTGGTGGTTCCAAACTTCTTCCATTTAAGAATAATGGAGGCCACTGTTTTTGCTTTGTCATTATGGGGTATTGTGTGTAGATTGCTGAGGATTTATATTCATTTAATCCATTTTAGAATAAGGCTGTAACGTAACAAAATGTGGAAAAAGTCATGGGGTCTGAATTCTTTCCGAAGGCACTGTACCTATTCTGGGAAATTGGCCACAGTCACATCTGTTACAGCAAAGGTCTGAGTTGTCCAATCCCAAATCAAACACCAGCCCCTATGCCTTGTTTTTTTGTGTACTGTAGATCTTCTAGGATTGGATAGTTTAGGCAATATGGCAAAAACTCAGAATCAGAGGGTAAGTTACAGCTATAATGCAATGCTGCAGATACTTATTGAATCCTATTAGATCTACAAAAGTGCAAGGGGGCTAGCGGTTGGTTTGGAATTGGGCCAATGATCATTGGTCCAAAAAGCAGTAGTCTATATCAGGAACAGGGAACCGTACTATTCATCACACATCCACAGAAACATTATGAAAGTGACCTTGCAGGAACATGCAGTAGAGACACCAATTTGGATGGTCACTCTGAATTAGTTGACCTTTATACATTTACATTCTTAACTATCACAATTTTTCTTAAACCATCTCATTTTATGAATTCGGTGGTTGTTCAAACACTCTCCAAATAACCATCCCCTGCAATGGTGTTTCTGGATGTGATAGTTGAGAAAAGCTTTAAATTGCATCACAATCACTGTACCTTGTCCTGTTGTTTTTTCTTGTGAAAGATTTGAAGAACTCAGAGAAAGTGACACTGAGGAACCTGACCAAGGAGAGTGCTGGGGTGTATAAATGTACTGCCAGCAACGATGTGGGAGAGGAGAGTTGCACCGTAGAGGTCAAGATGCACTGTGAGTATCCCAGGCTATAACCAACACACACACACACACACACACACACACACTGCCTCATATTATAACCCCATAAATGTTACCAAAAATGGTCTGTAAGACTTCAAAACAGTAATAGCTATCACTTTCTCCCAACCTGTGAATCATCTTTATCTTTGTGTGCATTTCAGATGTGCGGGGCATGGGTGTGGTGGCAGGCGCCATGGTGGGTGTGTCCTTCGGCGTCCTCCTCATCATCCTCATCATCTGGCTGGTGTTCCGCAAGAAGGAGAAGAAGAAATACGAGGAGGAGGAGACTCCTAATGAGATCAGGTAAACACACACACCCAATCACACACAAACACATTTAGGTTAGTGTGGTTAATTTGCAGATAATCAATTACACAGAACAAAATCAACCAGAAATAACAAAAAGTAAATACATCAACAGATGGGGTGGGGAAAAACCCTCCCCTAGTTGGTACAAAAAAGGACTTCACTCTGTCCACCAACACAAGTCTACACCACCACCACTTAAACCAGACTGCGTAGCATCCTCTCTCCAGCCGATGCATACCATCCCCTTTCCTCCATATCCCGCCGGTACTGTAGCTCCAGTACAGCCGCACCATCCCTCACTTCTCAGAGCAGATTCAAGCATCCTAAATTATGTCTGATAATGCTGCTGGCAGTGCTTGTTACAACAGCAGCTATTTTTGGGGCGATAGCAGAACATCTGCGCTGTTGCCTATTTGCGAGTGTCAGGCTGAATTATGCAGGCACAGGGGGATGGCTGAGCATCAATAATGGAGTGGCACGGCAAGGGAAGGGATGAGTCACAGAGCAGACAGTCACTACGGTCCTGTTTACATATGGAGCATTATCGGCGACACACCCACTCGTACACACACACTCACACACACACACACAGTCTAAGATCAGACTACTGTTTAGAAAAGGTGAGTGGTTGAAAATGACGTAGTGATCATTAATCGCATGTCGTTGATGTGCTGTAGGAACTTAACCTAACTAGGGTTCATTGTAAGAAGGGGATACCAGTTATTCAGCCATTCAGAGTCCCATGTATTTGGCAAGTTACCTCAAATAATGATATTATATAGTTGTGTACTATTATTCGTTATGCATTGCATTTAAACCATTATAAGTGTGCTTATAATGCACTCATTGTGCATTATGTGGAAGGTTTTCATTTAATTAATATTACCACTTATTTAATTGAGTGAGATTCTTCGATATTCTGAGCCACACCTGTCTTTGCCTCTGTGTCAGGGAGGATGCTGAGGCTCCCAAGGCCAAACTGGTGAAGCCCAACTCTCTCTCCTCATCCCACTCTGGCAGCTCCCGCTCGGGCACCTCCTCCACCCAATCCATGGTCCACACCAGCGCCCCCCGGGGGCCCCGCGCCCGCCTGCCTGCCGTGGCCGCCCTCAAGGAGAACGGCCAGCCCCACAGCTTCCTCCAACAGCCTCCCACCTACACACAAGTGGTCCCCAAAACCCCAGAGCCCCGCACGGCCCCGGCCAAGCCCAGCCCTCCCCCCAAACTGAGCCCCAGGAACCTGGCCCGCATGGGGGCAACGCCGGTCATGATCCCTGCCCAGACCAAGGCCTTCCAGACTGTGTAAGAGGGAAGGAGGGACAAAGGAGTGGACTTAGAAACAAGAAGCACCAGTACACAGCTGATAGCATCCCCCAGCCTGCCCCCAGAGACCCTGTGAAAACCAGCTATACCATGATGTAAAACTCCCCGTTACTCATAGTCGCCAACTAAAAGTATTATTGGGCGCATTCACATGAAGGGAAGATTTTCTTCAGAAGAGCTTTCGCCCGCCTCTCCTGTACAAACAATACAGAGCAACATCTCACGTTCACATTCCCTTCCCATGACGACAGAACTTTAGTCGGATTTTGCTGACGCGGGCAGTGTTGTGTATCATACTCTGAGGTGGCAGGAACAGGGGAAGGACCCTAAGTAGATTTGAGGTATTTTTAAACTAAATTGACAGAGCTGTGAAAGTGGGAGAGTTATGGACGGAGGGAGTGAGAGCAAACAGAGGACTAGAAAATAACAAACAAAGGAGAAACACGGGCTGCATAGCTCCCCAGAGAACAGGCCAGGGTGTCTGGGTGTCTAACGCCACCTGCTACCGACCAGATCAAACCAGACGGCAGAAAAAACAAAAAGTCCAAAACAGACAGGAAAAGTAAACAGCTCTCCAAACACCTGCTTTCCCGGGCTTGCCTGGGCACCACACCTGCCAAACTCACACTCCGCCACACCGAGCAATCAACATCTCTGAGGCTGCTTCGGTGGCATTGCACACCTCCATGTATCCCTGGATTCCCGCCAAGGCCAGCAGGCATGGTGATTGGCTCAGAGAGGAAGGAGGGGGGCACCGATCGATCGCCAAACCAATGAGAGTGGATGAAAGTCTGCTGCTGATGCAAGAGGGATGCTTTCCTGTAATTGTACAAAGATGATATAGCTGACTCCACATATACACATCACCTGTCATTCTATATACCTGCAAAAGGGTCACTCCCAGCAACATGGACATATCGGTATTGATTTCCCCTGCTTCCATGTTTTCTGTGTATCCAGCACTATGCACTTAACAAGTCTGGACATATGTAACGTTATCTTCCCATGTTCATGGACAGTGTCATTTAAGCCAATAGGAATATATGATTTGGTGGTCAACATAGGGGATTATTAATGGCTGTGTTATCTATTGCTGTGGGAGAATAGTTCATGTTTGCTTTTTTCTATTTCATTTATCTCAGATTCCTCTGAATGTTTAAGGATTGTTATTAAAGGGATGGACATAAGCCCTATCGATAAAGTGCCACTGTTGATGTTTGATGAAAATGGTTTTTGTTTGTGTTGTGTAAATAGCATGTCCATTAATCCGAATGAATGAACAAACGAATGAATGTGTTGATATATCTCAATGAGGAGCAGAGATTTGCAGTAATAAGTTGAATCACCTACAGTTGAACTGTGTCTGTAGCTGAAAACATGCTAAATATGTTCTGTATTATGGGAAAATGAACAAAGCGCCATTACACATCATAATATATGTGTTGGTTCGGCACCCTCTTGTAATTATAGAAGAACGGCAATGATGATCCTGAAGAGTGCCTTCGGTTAACATATACATTTTAATTGAATACATCACAGAAAAGTGATGTGTCACAACACAACTTTACCGTTTCGAATGGTTAACCCTATGGTATGGTACACCTGAAATTGATTCCATTTCAAGCAGATGAGGAATGAAAAGGACAATAGCTTTGAGTGATTTTGTTTAACCAAATCATTCTATCAAAGTCTCTACATGGTGGCCAAACACAGAATTTAAACGCAAACTCAATAAAATGTCCTGGCTGAAAGTGTTGGATTATGCCCTATCCTTTTCACTGACTTAAATGTCAATTTCTGCCTGAGCTCTCCTCAGATCCAAAGGTGTCACTTTTGCATAGCGATATTCTTGTCTGTGTGTACGCAGCAGCACATTGGTCCTTCAGCATTATGACTGCTTCCTCCCGAAGAGATACCCCTGTTATTTTTGCTCCCTCGCAATACAGTGCATGTGATGGATGAGATGTCAGGAGGTATTTGGAGTGACTGATGCTGTGGCGCCCTCCAGGATAACCCAGCACACTCATCTTAGATCACCCAGGAGGGAGCGGGCTCTACTCATCCCACAGTGCAGAGGGCATAAGAGTGCACTCACACTCTGGCCTCTGAAATGGTTGGAACCAGGACAGGGGTACTCGGGAGTCTATACTCCTTGAAAAACATTACAAGTTAACCTGGCTTTTGGTTCATGCCTGATTGAAATCCACCAGATTCACCTTTAGTAATCATTTTATTTTGTAATGTCACTCCAGTTGTGAAGGTGAAATTATCTCCTGAATCAAGGGCAGTTCCAAGAGCGAAAAGAAAGCTTTGTCTTGTTGAGTCTCTTGAGTCTCTTGAGTACTTCTAGCTTGCCCACTGCTGGTTGAAAAGCTCCTTTAAACCAGGAGACGGATGAGTGGCAAGATGAGAGGACGACACCTGAGGGAGAGCTCCTGATTACCCACCACAACCCTCTTAGAAAGCCAATACAGAGGGGCCTAGTGGCTGACTGAATGCAGCTCTTATGGCAGTTTGATGCGGTGTGATATGCACCAGGAATTATTTTCCAGTTATCCGAGTGGCTCTGTGAATTTCCCTGGTTTGCAAGCTACCTTTCGCTGCCCATCTCATTCAGCTGTGGCAGAGCGCTCTGCATCCTGAATCATTAGGATTTCCACCCTTTTCGTTGGAATGTCTTCCTTGGCAGACAGGAGGAATGGGAAGACCGTCTTCACCAAACCATGCTGGGGATTGGAATAACGTGAACCACAGCCATTACATTGCCCTTTCACCATGTGCCGACTCCAAAAGGACATTACCGTAGGTTAGCTAGTATGAAACTTGCATCTTGATGTCATTCATTAGTGTCTGTCTACTCTGAAGACCTCCACTATTGGTTGAGTGATGGGACCTCTGTGTTAAATACCATGCATACAGTGTAACGTTAAAGGGAGAAAGAATCCTTCCAAAGCTGAAAAACGATGGATATGCATGTCACTGATACTTAACTAGAGAAAGAACAAAACAGTATTTTTGCCTCAATAAATATATCAATTATAATCTTAAAACAAATACTATGACTGTAAATAAGGAAGGTTTTATACATGTTTGGTTTGTTTTAAGTTTCTTTGTTTGGGTTAAGTATTCAATCTGATGTACTTTGCTCTTTCTTAAACTGTCCCCTCTGTTTGTGTTTTGCTTGTGTTTAGTCCTTTTAACACACAAACACTGTTAGAAGGACAATATGTTTTCTCTCACTCTATTTTCTTTGATTGACAATGCCATGCAGTTACTTTGAGTTGTGGTAAACCAAAAAGGCCATGTATTTACCGTCCTCTTGAGTGAAAATTGTATATTTGTACAATATCTGAATAAGTACTGTTTTGGTTTGTAATAAAGCATTTGATGAAGAGCCACTTGGTTTGATTGTTCTCTACTTCAGACATGCAGACACACATATTGGTTTCCTGGACACATATTAAGCCATTTCAATGGAGATTTTCTACTGTGCATGCTTTTTAGTCTAGTACTTAATTGGTGTCTGGGAAACTGGCGTAAATATAGAAATACACATACTAGTGCCTGGAGTTGATCTAGTCTAGTGGTTAAGGCCCCAGCCTCTGACAAATGTATGGTACCCCTGCCTGTGTGGGATCGAATCCTGGCCTTTTTGCCTCTGTATCTCCCTTCTATTCAAGCCTGTCGCTGTCAAAAAACCAATAAAATCCTAAAAATATATATTTTAAAAAAGAATATATAGACGACTTCCCCTTGACATCTCAGATCATTTTCAACTTTGACCCCTGGGGTTTCTCAGACACAGACCATACCCACAGATCCAATCAGAATACAAACCATTCCATCTCAACATTTGGTGGGGCAGTGAAGGGCATATTAGACGGCTGACCATAAGGTTGCTGTGTGAAACACCAGATGGGGTCTGCGTGCTGTTGTGCCCTTGAGTGCGGCTCTTCAACAGAGTGGGCTCGCAAACAATGTCCATCTGTACAATGTCCCTCCAGATTAGGGTGTCTATAAGCAAAGTCATAAATAACCATTATAATCATAAAAAACTGCTGGACAGTGAGAATGCTGACCTTCTAATTGATCGAGTGAGGACACTAAATTTGCTGTGACTCTGCGGCAACACACAACAACAACTATCAACCAACCACTGTCCTCCTCAAGATTCCCCATCTGTTTGTTTCATTGGCTATCACACTGTACTGCAAAAATAATGGAAACACCAACATAAAGTGTCTTAATAGGGCGTTGGGCCACCACGAGCCGCCAGAACAGCTTCAATGCGCCTTGGCATAGATTCTACAAGTGTTTGGAACTCTATTACAGGGATGCGACCCCATTCTTCCATGGGAAATTCCAACATTTGGTGTTTTGTTGATAGGGGTGGAAAATGCTTTCTCAGGTGCCACTCCAGAATCTCCCATAAGTGTTCAATTGGGTTGAAATTTGGTGACTGAGACAGACACAGACACACACACACACCCTTTAAATCCCCTACACTCCTTTGAGACATCTCTTCCAGTCACTGAGGTCTCTTGTTTTAGCCATGGTAGCCAAATAATAATGGGCAAATCTGCATTTTTATACATGACCCTAGGCATGTGGTCCTCTGTAGCTCAATTGGTAGAGCATGGCGCTTGTAACGCCAGGGTAGTGGGTTCGATCACCGGTACCACCCATACGTAAAAATGTATGCACACATGACTGTAAGTCGCTTTGGATAAAAGCGTCTGCTAAATGGCATTATTATTATGAAGGGATGTTAATTGCTTAATTAAGTCAGGAACCACACCTGTGTGGAAGTACCTGCTTTCAATATACTTTGTATCCCTCATTTACTCACGTGTTTTGTTTATTTTGTCAGTTACCTGTACATATACTAGTAATACATAAAAAACATTCTCTGGCCAACTAGGGCGCTCATTTAACAATAAGAAGGCAATGATGCACTCTACTGGTAAAATATAACCATTACAT